GAGGTTGCTAGAGAGGCTGTGGGGGGAGAGGAAGTGGGGGCCGGGGGAAGAGGAAGCGGGAGCCGGAGGAAGAGGAAGAGGAAGTGGGAGCCGGAGGAAGGGGATGCGGGAGCTGGAGGAAGAGGAAGTGGGAGCTGGAAGAAGAGGGAGTTGGGGAGAGGTTGCTAGAGAGGATCCAATGGGAAGAGGAAGTGGGAGTTGAAGGAAGAGGAAGTTGAGGAGATGTTCCTAGAGAGGCTCGGGGGGGGGGAGAGGAAGTGGGAGCTGGAAGAAGAGGAAGTGGGAGCTGGAGGAAGTGGAACTTGGGGAGTCATTCCTAGAGAGGAAGAGGAAGTTGGGGAGAGCTTGCTAGAGGGGCTCCACAGGAAGTGGGAGCCGGAGGAAGAGGAAGTTGGGAGAGGTTGCTAGAGAGGATCCAATGGGAAGAGGAAGTGGGAGTTGAAGGAAGAGGAAGCGGGAGCCGGAGGAAGAGAAATTTTGACGGACAGGAAGCTCCGGGGTGATGGGCAGGCGGCAGGCGGCTGGGGGAGAGGAGAGGAGAGTCGGGAGGCGGTCCTAGAGAGGCTCCACAGGAAGTGGGGGCCGGGGGAAGAGGAAGTGGGAGGTGGAGGAAGAGGAAGTGGGAGCCGAAGAGGAAGTGGGAGCTGGAAGAAGAGGGAGTTGGGGAGAGGTTGCTAGAGAGGCTGTGGGGGAAGAGGAAGTGGGGGGGAGAGGAAGTGGGGGGGAGAGGAAGTGGGGGGAAGAGGAAGTGGGGGAAGAGGAAGAGGAAGCGGGAGCCGGAGGAAGAGGATGTGGGAACCGGAGGAAGAGGAAGTGGGAGCAGGAGGAAGAGAAATTTTGACGGACATTCCTAGAGAGGATCCAATGGGAAGAGGAAGTGGGAGTTGAAGGAAGAGGAAGTTGAGGAGATGTTCCTAGAGAGGCTCGGGGGGGGGGAGAGGAAGTGGGAGCTGGAAGAAGAGGAAGTGGGAGCCGGAGGAAGTGGAACTTGGGTAGTCATTCCTGGAGAGGAAGAGGAAGTTGGGGAGAGGTTGCTAGAGAGGTTCCGGGGGAAGAGGAAGTGGGAGCCAGAGGAAGAGGAAATGGGAGCCGGAGGAAGAGGAAGTTGGGAGAGGTTGCTAGAGAGGATCCAATGGGAAGAGGAAGTGGGAGTTGAAGGAAGAGAAATTTTGACGGACAGGAAGCTCCGGGGGTGATGGGCAGGCGGCAGGCGGCTGGGGGAGAGGAGAGGAGAGTTGGGAGGCGGGCCTAGAGAGGCTCCACAGGAAGTGGGGGCCGGAGGAAGAGGAAGCAGGAGGTGGAGGAAGAGGAAGTGGGAGCTGGAAGAAGAGGGAGTTGGGGAGAGATTCCTAGAGAGGCTCAGGAGGAAGTGGGAAAAGAGAAAGTTCCTAGAGGGGATACGGGGGGAAGAGGAAGTGGGAGCCGGAGGAAGAGGAAGTGGGTCCCCGCCCCTGGCCAGAGGATCCAATCAGAAACTGCTGGGGAAGAGGAGAGGAGAGTTGGGAGAGAGGTTGCTAGAGAGGCTCAGGAGGAAGTGGGGGAAACGTTCCTAGAGAGGATACGGGGGAAGAGGAAGTGGGAGCTGGAGGAAGAGGAAGTGGGAGCCAGAGGAAGAGGAAGTGGGTCCCCGCCCCTGGCCAGAGGATCCAATCAGAAACTGCTGGGGAAGAGGAGAGGAGAGTTGGGGAGAGGTTCCTAGAGAGGCTGTGCGGGGGGGAAGAGGAAGTGGGAGCCGGAGGAAGTGGAACTTGGGGAGTCATTCCTAGAGAGGAAGAGGAAGTTGGGGAGAGGTTGCGAGAGAGGCTCCACAGGAAGTGGGAGCCCGAGGAAGAGGAAGTGGGAGCCGGAGGAAGAGGAAGTGGGAGCCGGAGGAAGAGAAATTTGGACGGACAGGAAGCTCCGGGGGTGATGGGCAGGTGGCAGGGGGAGAGGAGAGTTTCAGTAGACATTCCTAGAGAGGCTCCACAGGAAGTGGGGGCCGGAGGAAGAGGAAGCGGGAGCCGGAGGAAGAGGAAGTGGGAGCCGGAGGAAGAGAAGTTTGGACGGACGGGAAGCTCCGGGGGTGATGGGCAGGCGGCAGGGGGAGAGGAGAGGAGAGTTGGGAAGCGGTTCCTAGAGAGGCTGTGGGGGGGGGGGAAGAGGAATTGGGGGGGAAGAGGAAGTGGGAGCCGGAGGAAGAGGAAGTGGGTCCCCGCCCCTGGCCAGAGGATCCAATCAGAAACTGCTGGGGAAGAGGAGAGGAGAGTTGGGGAGAGGTTCCTAGAGAGGCTCCACAGGAAGAGGAAGTGGGAGCCGGAGGAAGAGGAAGTTGGGGAGACGTTCCTAGACAGGCTCCGGTGGAAGAGGAAGTGGGAGCCGGAGGAAGAGGAAGTTGGGGAGAGGAACTTGGGGAGGAAGTTGGAGAGAAGTAGAGAGAAAGAGGAAGTTGGGGAGACGTTCCTAGAGAGGAAGTCGGAGCCAGAGAAAGAGGAAGTTGGGGAGAGGTTCCTAGAGAGGAAGTCGGAGCCAGAGAAAGAGGAAGTTGGGGAGAGGTTCCTAGAGCGTCTCACCTTCGGTCCGGCACGTCTGCAGACAGGCCCGCTCGGACAGGAAGCGGTTGGCGCGTCCAGGCAGCCGCCGTACAGGAAGCTCTGGCACGACTGGGCGCTGGCGTTGTAGAAGTAGCGCAACTCGGCGCCCAGGCAGGGGCCGGCGTCCCGGGGCAGCTGGCAGTCGGCTGGAGAGGAAGAGGAAGTGGAAGTCTGGGGAACTGCCTGCCTCGTGAGAAGCGGCGTGCGAAATCGGACGAAGTAGCGTGCGAAATCTGACCAAGTAGCGTGCGAAATCTGGGGAACTCCCTCCATAAGTACAATGTGAAATCTGGGGAACTCCCTGCCTCATGAAAAGTAGCGTGCAAAATCTGACGAAGTAGCGTGCGAAATCTGACAAAGTAGCGTGCGAAATCTGGGGAACTTCCTGTATGGTGAAAAGTAACAGGAAGAGTCTGGGGAACTCCCTGCCTCATGGGAAGCAGCGTGCGAAATCTGACGAAGTAGCGTGCGAAATCTGACGAAGTAGCGTGCGAAATCCGGGGAACTCCCTGCCTCGTGAAAAGTAGTGTGCGAAATCTGCTGCAGTAGCGTGCGAAATCTGACTAAGTAGCGTGCGAAATCTGGGGAACTCCCTGCATGGAGAAATGCAGCAGGCAGAGTCTGGGGAACTCCCTGCCTCATGAAAAGTAGCGTGCAAAATCTGACTAAGTAGCGTGCGAAATCTGGGGAACTCCCTGCATAAGTACAATGTGAAATCTGGGGAACTCCCTGCATGGTGAAAAGTAGCGTGCGAAATCTGACGAGGTAGCGTGCGAAATCCGGGGAACTCCCTGCATAAGTACAATGTGAAATCTGGGGAACTCCCTGCCTCGTGAAAAGTAGTGTGCGAAATCTGACGAAGTAGCGTGCGAAATCCGGGGAACTCCCTGCATAAGTACAATGTGAAATCTGGGGAACTCCCTGCCTCGTGAAAAGTAGTGTGCGAAATCTGACGAAGTAGCGTGCGAAATCCGGGGAACTCCCTGCATAAGTACAATGTGAAATCTGGGGAACTCCCTGCATGGTGAAATGTAGCAGGCAGAGTCTGGGGAACTCCCTGCCTCATGAAAGAAGCGTGCGAAATCTGACGAAGCAGCGTGCGAAATCTGGGGAACTCCCCGCCTCATGAAAAGTAGCGTGCGAAATCTGACTAAGTAGCGTGCGAAATCTGGGGAACTCCATGCATTGTGAAATGTAGCAGGCAGAGTCTGGGGAACTCCCTGCCTCATGAAAAGTAGCGTGCGAAATCTGACTGAGTAGCGTGCGAAATCCGGGGAACTCCCTGCCTCATGAAAAGTAGTGTGCGAAATCTGACGAAGTAGCGTGCGAAATCTGGGGAACTCCCTGCATAAGTACAATGTGAAATCTGGGGAACTCCCTGCCTCATGAAAAGTAGCGTGCGAAATCTGACGAAGTAGCGTGCGAAATATGGGGAACTCCCTGCCTCGTGAAAAGTAGTGTGCGAAATCTGGGGAACTCCCTGCCTCGTGAAAAGTAGTGTGCGAAATCTGGGGAACTCCCTGCCTCGTGAAAAGTAGCGTGTGAAATCTGGGGAGCTCCCTGCATCTTGAAAAGTAGTGTGCGAAATCTGACTAAGTAGCGTGCGAAATCTGGGGAGATCCCTGCATCGTGAAAAGTAGCGTGCGAAATCTGGGGAACTCCCCGCCTCATGAAAAGTAGCGTGCGAAATCTGACTAAGTAGCGTGCGAAATTTGGGGAACTCCCTGACTCGTGAAAAGTAGCGTGGGAAATCTGGGGAACTCCCTGCCCCGTGAAAAGTAGTGTGCGAAATCTGGGGAACTCCCTGCATAAGTACAATGTGAAATCTGGGGAACTCCCTGCATGGTGAAATGTAGCAAGCAGAGTCTGGGAACTCCCTGCCTCATGAAAAGTAGCGTGCGAAATCTGACTAAGTAGCGTGCGAAATCTGGGGAACTCCCTGCCTCATGAGAAGTAGCGTGCGAAATATGGGGAACTCCCTGCATGGTGAAATGTAGCAGGCAGAGTCTGGTGAACTCCTGCCTCCTGAGAAGCAGCGTGCGAAATCTGACGAAGTAGCGTGCGAAATCTGGGGAACTCCCTGCATAAGTACAATGTGAAATCTGGGGAACTCCCTGCCTCGTGAAAAGTAGCGTGCGAAATCTGACGAAGTAGCGTGCGAAACCGGGAACTCCCTGCCTCATGAGAAGTAGCGTGCGAAATCTGACGAAGTAGCGTGCGAAATCTTGGGAACTCCCTGCCTCATGAAAAGTAGCGTGCGAAATCTGACGAAGTAGCGTGCGAAATCTGGGGAACTCCCTGCCTCATTAAAAGTAGAGTGCGAAATCTGCTGCAGTAGCGTGCGAAATCTGACTAAGTAGCGTGCGAAATCTGGGGAACTCCCTGCATGGTGAAATGCAGCAGGCAGAGTCTGGGGAACTCCCTGCCTCATGAAAAGTAGCGTGCGAAATCTGACGAAGTAGCGTGCGAAATCTGGGGAACTCCCCGCCTCATGAAAAGTAGCGTGCGAAATCTGACGAAGTAGCGTGTGAAATCTGGGGAGCTCCCTGCCCCATGAAAAGTAGCGTGGGAAATCTGATGAAGTAGTGTGCGAAATCTGACTAAGTAGCGTGCGAAATATGGGGAACTCCCTGCCTCGTGAGAAGCAGCGTGCGAAATCTGACCAAGTAGCGTGCGAAATCTGACGAAGTAGCGTGCGAAATCCGGGGAACTCCCTGCCTCATGAAAAGTAGTGTGCGAAATCTGCTGCAGTAGCGTGCGAAATCTGGGAACCCCCTGCCTCATGAAAAGTAGCGTGCGAAATCTGACGAAGTAGCGTGCGAAATCTGACAAAGTAGCGTGCGAAATCCGGGGAACTCCCTGCCTCGTGAAAAGTAGCGTGCAAAATCTGACAAAGTAGCGTGCGAAATCTGACGAAGTAGCGTGCGAAATCTGGGGAACTCCCTGCCTCGCAAAAAGTAGCGTGCGAAATCTGACAAAGTAGCGTGCGAAAACCGGGGAACTCCCCGCCTCATGAGAAGTAGCGTGCGAAATCTGACGAAGTAGCGTTCAAAATCTTGGGAACTCCCTGCCTCGTGAAAAGTAGCGTGCGAAATCTGACGAAGTAGCGTGCGGAATCTGGGGAACTCCCTGCATTGTGAAATGTAGCAGGCAGAGTCTGGGGAACTCCCTGCCTCCTGAAAAGTAGCGTGCGAAATCTGACGAAGTAGCGTGCGAAATCTGGGGAACTCCCTGCATGGTGAAATGCAGCAGGCAGAGTCTGGGGAACTCCCTGCCTCATGAAAAGTAGCGTGCAAAATCTTACGAAGTAGCGTGCGAAATCTGGGAAACTCCCCGCCTCGTGAGAAGTAGCGTGCGAAATCTGAGGAAGTAGCGTGCGAAATCCGGGGAACTTCCTGCATAAGTACAATGTGAAATCTGGGGAACTCCCTGCATGGTGAAATGTAGCAGGCAGAGTCTGGGGAACTCCCTGCCTCATGAAAAGTAGCGTGCGAAATCTGACTAAGTAGCGTGCGAAATCTGACTAAGTAGCGTGCGAAATCTGGGGAACTCCCTGCATGGTGAAATGTAGCAGGCAGAGTCTGGGGAACTCCCTGCCTCATGAAAAGTAGCGTGCGAAATCTGACGAAGCAGCGTGCGAAATATGGGGAACTCCCTGCATGGTGAAATGTAGCGTGCGAAATCTGACGAAGTAGCGTGCGAAATATGGGGAACTCCCTGCCTCGTGAAAAGTAGCGCGCAAAATCTGACAAAGTAGCGTGCGAAATCTGGGGGAACTCCCTGCCTCATGAAAAGCAGCGTGCGAAATCTGACGAAGTAGCGTGCGAAATCTGACGAAGTAGCGTGCGAAATCCGGGGAACTCCCTGCCTCGTGAGAAGTAGCGTGCCAAACCCACCTTCCTTGACGTCCGGGAACGCGGGTGCGAATCCGTCGGCCGAGCCTTCTTCCTCGAACAAGGGGGTCCTGCGCACCCTCTCCTGGAAAACGTGGGAATGTGCAACATGGGTGTCAGAAGCGTGCGAATGTGCAACACTGGTGTCAGAAATGTGGGGGGATGTGCGACATGGGTGTCAGAAGCGTGCAAATGTGCAACACTGGTGTCAGAAATGTGGGAGGATGTCAACACGGGTGTCAGAAGTGTGCGAATGTGCAACACTGGTGTCAGAAATGTGGGAGGATGTGCAACACTGGTGTCAGAAATGTGGGAGGATGTGCAACATGGGTGTCAGAAGTGTGCGAACGTGCAACACTGGTGTCAGAAGTGGGGTTGCCAGATTTCCATGGGGCGTAATTGACCCCCAAATAAGGCCGCACCCTATAGGCGCACAAGTGGGGCGTATTTGACCCCCAAGTAACACCCTATGGGTGTCACAAGTGGGGCGTATTTCACCCCCAAATCACCCTATGGGTCACCCAGCCCCAGATACCAGTCTGCGTTCACAAGTGACGTCAGATGCAGGGTGCAACGGGGGTCCGCTTGGGGGTCACTTACCTGGGGCGCATCTTCGGCCTTGGGCGGGACGCACTCCCCTGTGCAAAGAGAGAAGGGGTTTGAACCCGGGTTCGGAGGGGGCATTTTCACGTTCGGGGTGCGGGAAAGCGGGTCAGACTAGATGACCCCTTTTGCGCCCGGAAAAACCCCGATTCCCACATCTATAGGCGAAGTGTCAGAAACGTGCAACATCGGTGTCAGAAGTGCTCAGCAAAGTGTGTAACATGGGTGTCGGAAGTGCGTGACATCGGTGTCAGAAGCGTGCAACATCGGGGTCAGAAGTGCTCAGCATAGTGTGTAACATGGGTGTCGGAAGTGCGTGACATCGGTGTCAGAAGTGTGCAACATCGGGGTCAGAAGTGCTCAACGAAGTGTGCAACATGGGTGTCAGAAGTGCGTGACATCGGTGTCAGAAGTGTGCAACATCGGGGTCAGAAGTGCTCAGCATAGTGTGTAACATGGGTGTCAGAAGTGCGTGACATTGGTGTCAGAAGGGTGCAACATGGGTGTCAGAGGTGTGCAACATTGGTGTCCGAAACGTGGGGATCTGCAACATTGGTGTCAGAGGTAGGCAGGAATTTGAACCCGCAAAGTGTGCAACATCGGTGTCAGAAGGGTGCGAAATCGGTGTTAGAAGTGTGCAACACTGGTGTCTGAAACGTAGGAATGTGCAATATTGGTGTCAGAAACTTGGGAATGTGCGACAGAAGTGCGCAACATCGGTGTCAGAAGCGTGCAACAGCTGTGTCAGAAGTGTGCAACATTGGTGTCAAAACGTGCAACATTGGTGTCAGAAACGTTCGAATGTGCAACATCGGTGTCAAGCGCACGACATCGGTGTGAGAAGTGCGCCACATCCGTGTCAGAAGTGTGTGACATTGGTGTCAGAAATGTTCGAATGTACAACATTGGTGTCAGAAATGTGGGTAGTGCAACACTGGTGTCCTAAGTGTGAGAAGGTGCAACATTGGTGTCAGAAATGTGGGTAGTGCAACACTGGTGTCCTAAGTGTGAGAATGTGCAACATTGGTGTCAGAAATGTGGGTAGTGCAACACTGGTGTCCTAAGTGTGAGAATGTGCAACACTGGTGTCAGAAGTGCGCCACATTGGTGTCAGAAGTATGCAACATTGGTGTCACAAACGTGGGAATGTGCGACATAGGTGTCCGAAATGTGCGAATGTGCAGCACTGGTGTCCGAAATGTGCGAATGTGCAACACTGGTGTCAGAAATCTTTGAATGTGCAACATTGGCGTCAGAAACTTGGGAGCGTGCAACAGAAGTGTGCGACATCGGTGTAAGAAGCGTGCAACATTGGTGTCAGAAGTGGGGGATCCTGCAACACTGGTGTCCGAAACGTTCGAATGTGCAACATTGGTGTCAGAAATTTGGGAACGCGCAACAGAAGTGTGCGACATCAGTGTCCCAAGTGTGCAAATCTGTGAAATTCGAACCCGCCGCCTCCCCGCCCCGCAACTCACCTTGGTTGCTCAGGACAAAGATGGCCTCCTCTGGGATCCCTAGTGCAAGGGCCCGCCGCCGGAAGTCCTCCACCAGGTCCTCCCTCAGCGCCGGGCTCCGTCCTGCAACGGGAGACACGGGTTCAAGTCCTTACAAGATTTGCACGCCTTTGCACGGAATCTCCCACAATTCAGCGAGATTTCACGCTGCGGGGAACTCCCTCACTTTTGCACGGAATGAGCTAGATTTCACGCTGCGGGGAGCTTCCTCGAATTTGCACGGAATCTCCTGCATTTGTGCTAGATTTCACGCTGCGGGAGCTTCCTCTCATTTGCACGAAATGAGCTAGATTTCACGCTGCGGGGAGCTTCCTTGCATTTGCACGGAATCTCCCACAATTCAGCTTGATTTCACGCTGCGGGGAGCTTGCATGTATTTGCACGGAATCTCCCACACTTGAGCTAGATTTCACGCTGCGGGGAGCTTGCATGTATTTGCACGGGATCTCCCACAATTCAGCTAGATTTCACGCTGCGGGGAGCTTCCTCGCATTTGCACGGAATGAGCTAGATTTCACGCTGCGGGGAGCTTCCTCGCATTTGCACGGAATCTTGAACTACATTTCACGCTGTGGGGAGCTCCCTCGCATTTGCACGGAATCTCCCGCAGCGGAGCTTGATTTCACGCTCACATTTGCACGGAATATCCCGCTGCGGCGCTAGATTTCACGCTCACATTTGCACGGAATCTCCCACAATTCAGCTAGATTTCACGCTGCGGGGAGCTCCCTCGCATTTGCACGGAATCTCCCGCAGCGGAGCTAGATTTCACGCTCGCATTTGCACTGAATCTCCCGCAGCGGAGCTATATTTCACGGTCACATTTGCACGGAATCTCCCACAATTCAGCTAGATTTCACGCTGCGGGGAGCTTGCACGCATTTGCACGGAATCTCCCACAATTCAGCTACATTTCACGCTGCGGGAGCTTGCACAGATTTGCACGGAATCTCCCACAATTCAGCTCGATTTCACACTGCGGGGAGCTTGCACGGATTGCCACGGAATCTCCCACAATTCAGCTCGATTTCACCCAGTGGAGCTAGATTTCACACTCGCATTTGCACGGAATCTCTCGCACGTGAGCTAGATTTCACGCTCGCATTTGCACGGAATCTCCCGCAGCGGAGCTAGATTTCACGCTCGCATTTGCACAGAATCTCCCACACTTGAGCTAGATTTCACATTCGCATTTGCACGGAATCTCCCACAATTCAGCTCGATTTCACGCAGTGGAGCTAGATTTCACGCTCGCATTCGCACGGAATCTCTCGCACGTGCGCTGGATTTCACGCTGCGGGGATTGGGACGCACCGTAAAGCTTGGCGCTGGTGCTGAGCCCGTGGGTGCTGTTCTTCTCCGTGACCAAGATGGCGAATTCTTCGGGGTCAGCGTGCGCCACGAAGGTCTCGCCGTG